GGAAAAACATTTTGTCTTCATAAACAAAACTGTTAAAAATCTGGGAGAACAATAATTTCTTATTATGCAAAGCTTTGAGATATTGTTCTTCTGTTAAATCTCCTAGTAAGTCTAAAATTTATACACGAAGTGGACATTTCAGAAGTACTACATTTCAATAAAGTTAAATACATAAAAATGTAGTTTCAGTGATAAGGCTTCACATAAATTGCAGGTGCATAAGGAAATTATCAGAAACTGTAAAGTAAGTTATTTAGGGATTCTCAATTTCTTAATCTTTCTTTCCTTTCACTTCTTCTTCACTAATACTTTAAAATGATTTATTCTTAGATGAAAATGTTAAGGAATTTTGAAATTTTTATGCTATGATGGGAAATTTCTTCCTACTTGCAGAACATAACCACACGCACTCTTAGGAAGATGAAAAATACTTGAATTACTGCAGTGAAAATGCAAAGATCGCCTACTAAGTTACAAATAACATATCATAGCCATAAGAACATTAAGCAACTGATGATGCTTTGCCAATCAAGCAAAAAAAAAAAAAATTCTGAAGTTACAAAGTTCTCCCACTAGATGTCAGGGAACATACACAACATTCAAAGCTGGTTCCCTTATTGGGTAACATTATACCAGCAGGATGATATGGGATTAAAACCTCAACAGCCCAAAAAGAGCATATTAAATTAAGATTCCTTTGAAGGAAAATATTTGAATTATATGGATTAAAATGCTTAAGGAAAAAAGTAACTAGAAACAATCAATCAATAAATCAATCAAGGAATGTATCTATCTGTAGGCTAGCCATTTAGAACCTAAAATCATGTTGAAATAAAGCACCATTAATAGAAACTAGGGATGTAAAATCCCGTTTAATTAGTTAACCGGTTAAACTTTAGATTTAACTGGTTAACCAATTAAGTGGAATTGGAGTGGGACCTGCTCTAGCCCCAATCCGTAGGGCTGCTGCCAGCCCCCATGGCCCAGACGCTGACTCCCCCAGCCCTGGTGGCCCTATGAGGGATGGCTACTGCTACCAGCTCCATGCAGGGCTGTTGGCTCCTGCGCCTGGCTAACTGTTCACATCCCTAATAGACACATTTCCAGACCCTACTACTCCAACCTCATGTCGCTCCCTATGTAAGAAAACACCTAAATGAGTCAACTAATTGTACAATGGAAAAAACTGTGGTAGTAAATAAGCATTTACTGAAAGGTAAGTTTATAACTAACTGAATGAGCAGTAATATCTGCCAGAGTATCAGAGATTTTAAGACTACATGGGACCTTTTGACAATGTAGTCTATCCTCCTGAATACAAAAGGCCATTAAGTTTATTTAAGTCACTTCTGCATCAAGCCCATTAACCTGCATTTGACTCCACTTACTCTGTTTGTACATGTCTATTGTAAAAAGGAACCATTCTTGGCTGGCTCTCCCAAAATAAACATGATTTATATATACTGTCTTCCAGAAGTGCATCCAGCCTTGACTCAAAGCATCAAGAGAGGGAAAATCCATCTCTTGCCTTGGTAGTTTGCAATGGTTTATCACCCTCATGGATAAAAATGTATTTCTTATTTGAATTTGTTTAGCTTCACTATCCAGGCATATATATGAAGATATAGCTATCTTGGGGTATGTCTACACTACCCCGCTAGTTCGAACTAGCGGGGTAGTGTAGACATACCCTGGGTGCTAATGAAGCCCGGGATTTGAATTTCCCGGGCTTCATTAGCATAAGCGGGGAGCCGCC